CTTCTTTTTCTCTCAAACTAAATATCTTATAAAATTTAAAAGCCAAAACTCTAAATTTAATTTACAATGAAATACTTATTCACGGTTGGGTTATGTTTGATGGTATATATGTGTAGGCAAAACATGTAGATTAACCCCTTAACTCATTGATTGGTAGCAAATCAATCCCTCATCTCAATTCACACGCAAACTAACCCCTCAACTTGTCTACAGTGGCAAATCAGCTCCTCTATTTATCCTGACGTCATCAATTCATTAAGTTTTAACATTTCTCTCGTCAACCCCTCCCTTGCGTCTGACCTGGATTATTTTTGCTAAGATGGATGTTTTGTTGGCTGTTTTGTTGGACTCCCTTACCATGGACTCATTGGAGCAAATTCTTAACGAGATAAAATAGTGGATGGTTTCCAAATCCCTAAGGTGTGAGAAATTGGGGATTTTTCTAGGCTTAACAAAAAGATTACAAGTCCATTACCAACATAATGCCGGAGGAAGAAGAAGAGGAAGAAGATGTTGAAGTGTTTTCTTGTTAAATTATATATAAACTTACCTAGCAGAAGAAATGCTGAAGTGTTTTCCCGGTTGTCGTTGCCGAACAACATAAAGCTCGTCACTGGGACAATACTCCATTACCAAACAAGAGTAATGGGAATTTTCAAACTCTACATACAGAGTTGGCAAAAAGGGATGATTAAGCATACCCAGGATCTCTTTTTCCATGTCGGCTCTCTGTAGCTTCTTCCGGATAGCAAGCACTTCTCTATCCACCACTTTCATGGCATAAAAGCACTATGACAACCCACCACGGGGTTCCTTATCTGGCAAAGGTAAATGTTGCCCAAGTCTCCACTTCCCAACCTACAAAAAAGGCAGAAATGGTCCAACCCCATTTAATTTCTTTTGCTAAGTAGTTTTCGTTATTCAAATTTTTGGCAGGAAGAAAAAGAGGAAGAAAATGACAATAAAGGTTGCAACCTGAACAAAACCATAGATCCCCAATTATATTTGATCAAATTCAAAATTTTGACAATAAGAAGAAAAGGAAGAATATGAGCTACAACCCAAACAAAACCCTAGATCTTTAATTATATTTGACCAATCTCAAACTTTTTATAGGAAGAAGAAGAGTAAGAAGACAAGCTGTTAAGATTGCGAGCTTAAATGATCTTACGATGCTAAGTGGCTTCAATGATCTAAATTGAACAAAAATCAGGGATGTTGAAAATTTAATCGAAGATCGTATACAAGATCGTGAGATCTTAAAC